CGGTGCAACATACGCGTTGCATATATGATACAAGATTCGTGGTATAGTATGCATACGCGTACATGAGTTGCAAACTGCTTGGCGTAATGAGTGTACATGTGCGAACATCGATGAATACATATACTTGCACATACGAGTATGAATATGACATGCGCGGCTGATGCACAACATCTTGAACCCTTAGCATTATCATCCACGTCATCCTCCTTATGATCCTTCTTAACTTCGTACTCGTGTCTGCTTATCCTCTGATCTCCCTCACCCTTCTCAACCTCACAATCCTCTAACTACCTGCTCATCTTTATGCATTATCCTCCTCCCCTAATCCTGTTCCTCCTCATTATCCTCCTTCTGCTCCTCATCCTCCTCCTTCCCCTCCTCCTGCTCCTCCTCCTTCTCTCCAACATCATCATACTCACCAACCTCCTCCTCTCCCGTCTCCACATCATCATCACCGCCCTCCTCCTCCTCCTCCTCCTCCACCATGCTCCCCCCTCTGCTCTGATCGCCAACGCATCGGCGACGCGAGGCCGAAGGAGGTCTGGCTCCAAGCGACGCCGCATCGCCGACTCATCGGCGATGTATCGGTGACGCGCTGCTATCTTCGGACCCGAAAAAGCTCCCTGCTCCAGCCCAGTGTGGGAGGCCTGTCCCCTCCCCTTCCCAAACGTCTGAGCGTCTGGAGCACAGTCACGATTTGCACGTGTCCGCTGTCCGTGACCGCACGACCCTCACGGATCGATCGAGCTTGAATGATCACGCGCGGAACTGTTGTCATCAGCTCTGGTCGTGTCTTCCTCCACGACGTCGCCAGAGGCCTCCAGAAGTCTCCAAAGGAGCCGCCAAAGCCCCGTGGAAGCCTCCGCATGGAGACCACCGGAGGCCCCTGGACACCCAACAAGACAACGAACATGTCAGAGACATTGATCCTCCTCCTGGCTGCTTTCGCGCCGTTGTATATCCAGGCGACGCCCACTCGCGTCTCACAGGGAAAATCAAAACAGTCAGATCAGCGCTGGGTTCCTGGGGCCCCCCGAAAATACCCCAGGACACTCCGCCCAAGGATGCCTGGCGGCCCCAAACACTGTCCAAGAGAGCTCCGAGACACCCGAAGATCGCTCCAAGATGCCCAAGATGGCCTCCAGACGGCCCACGAGGCCCCCAAGATCACCCCAAGCGGGCCCAAGAGGCCTCCAAGACGGCCCGAAGACGGCTCAAGAGGGAAGGCCCAAGAGGCCCCAAGACTGCTCCGAGGAGAGCCCAGACAGGGGACCCAAACAGACATTTCGAGCCTTCGGCCGCAGGAGGCCCCAAAGGGTCCACAAAAGGGTCCCAAGAGGCCCAAAGAAGCCCCCAAGAGGCCCCCAGGAAGCCCCAAGAGGCCTCCAAGATAGATCCCCGAGAGGCTCCGAAGACGCTCCCAAGAGGTCCCGAAAGATACCCCCCAGACGTTCCGAGATCGCTCCGAAGAGACCCCAAGAAGCATCCCCGAGGACTCTGACCCACAACCCAGGCACGGCAGTGGGACAGTAGAGGCGACCCCGACGACAAGCTCCCAGAGGCGTTGCAACAGTGTCGCAACGCCTCTGGAAAAAAGACCACCGCCGAGCAACGCCGCACGGGCCACGAACGCGCAGGCAAACGCCAGCGACGGCACAATACGGGCCAGCGGAATGAGCGAAGCGACTAGCTAAGAGCAATCAGGTCAGCACTTGGTTCCCAGGGGACTGCTTGAGTGCCATTGGAGCCGCCCGAGCGCTGACCTGACCAACAGGCCGCAGCCGCCGCCGCCTGGGAGCGACGGTGAATCAGGTGGGTACTCGGGCCTCCTGGGCATCACCTAAAGGGACTCTTGCGGCCCGAGCGCTGACAGGACACTCTTCCTGATCCCGATGCCACCAAGGTTTTTGGGACGGTGGCCGCAAGCGGGGCCCCGAGAGCGGGCACCCCAGACACCCGACGCCCGGACGTGTCTCGCAGCAGGGGCCCCCTGGAGATCTCGACCCGCTCCCAGAGAGACCGCCTTCTTTCATCCCGAGTCGGTGTGTTGACGGTCCCAGGGGCTCGGCAGGGGCCCCCGGAAGCCAACAGCGGCCACGAGAACGTCCTGCCGCGCTTCTGTTCACGACGCGAAGGGGGCCCGAGTTTGGGGGGATGGCCGCAGGGGGGGTCCGAGAGCGAGCGTGGCGGCAGGGTCTCTCCGCCCCACGGGCCTTCCGGACGCCAGTGTTGGTGCCGAAACCCACCTGGGCGCCGCCGCCGGCGTACATCACCACGCGAGCGGGCTCCTGCCGCGCTGGGCAGCGGTGGCCAGGAGGGGGCGGGAGGAGGAGGAAAAAGAGGAGGAGGAGGAGGAGGAGGAGGAGAAGCGCAGGTCCCATGTGATTGCCGCCAAGCGACCGAAGACCGAGAGCCGCATGTCGTGCTGAAACCGTAGGGGGTACTGCAAGCACGGCGCAGATCTTATTGTCCAATGCGCCAAGCTGCCAGGCTCATGGCAGTCTCCACCGTAAAATCGGTGTCCTCATTACTGTTGCTCCGTGGGTGACGGTGGAGATGTGCAGGCGGTGCACGGGAGGAGGAGGAGGAGGAGGAGGAGGAGGAGGAGGAGGAGGAGGAGGAGGAGGAGGAGGAAAAGGTCAACGTTTAATCATGGTTTGAGCCGCAGAGCTCCGTTCTTCCCCGAGGCCGGTTTTCCCGAACCTTAGCCTGGGCGGGCTCCTGCGGAGTCGTCAGGCTGCGGCGCAACAGGGCCTCAGCGAGACCCACCGTCCTCAGGACATAGAGGACACAGAGGACACAGAGGAGGAGGAGGAGGAGGAGGAGGAGGAGGAGGAGGAGGAGGAGGAGGAGGAGGAGGAGGAGGAGGAGGAGGAGGAGGAGGAGGAGGAGGAGGACGGAGGAGGAGGAGGAGGGCCCTGGATGGGGGGGGGGGGGGCGACGGTGCTGAGGACCTTTTGTTCAAACAGGGTGCCCCCCGTGAGTATGATCTGCGTGCTCGCGCTGCTGGCGCTGACCCGTGCAGCGTGCTGTTACCCGGCTCGCCACTCTTGTGAGGAGAAAACTGATCGTGCTGGGAGGAAGGGTTCGGGAGGATGAAGCGCATGAGCAATACAGCATCCGGAAGCAATGCACGACACCTTCGGCCGCCTACGGGTAAGAAAGTAGCCTCATCTCTCCCAACCCCCTCCTCCCAACCCGAGAACCGGAGGGCTCCAAAACGGGTTTGGGGGGAGGGGATTTTCCAGAGAGCACCCCGGGAGCCTCGGAACCTCGTCAAAACAGGGGGTGCGAGGCCCCTGGAGGACCCCTCCTGGAAAACCCCCTCCCCAAAACCCCGTTGGGAACCCTCCGGGATACCTGTCGTCCTGATCTTGGTGACCGGCTCGAGGAAGGCAGACTGGCTGGGAGCCTCGCCCCGCCCCCCCCCCCCCCCCCGAGGGCTCCCGGCCCTCCCCGAGGCCCCCGAGAGGGGGAGCCCCGGCGCCCCGCGGGGCAGGCGCGCCGTGCCGATATCGAGGCGTCGGCCCACCTGGCCGAGGGGTGGCGCCATCGACGGGCCAGAGATCGGCGGCTCCTCCTCCTCCTCCTCCTCCTCCTTCCCTCCTCCTCCTCCTCCTCCTCCTCCTCCTCCCCTCCTCCCTCCTCTCCTCCTCCTCCTCCTCCTCCTCCTCCTCCTCCTCCTCCTTCTCCTCCCTCTCCTCCTCCGCCTCCTCCTCATCCTTCCCCGTCCTCCTCCTCCTCCTCCTGGCCGAGGGGGCCGGAGAGCCCTCGGGGGGAAGCGAGGAAGGAGAAGGCCTCCTCGGGAGGCGGCGGGAGACTTCTCAGAGGCCCTCGCGCAGCGCCTCCTGAGAGAAGTCCTGTCTGCGTCCTTGTCGGGGGAGGCCCAGCAGACTCCTCTGCAGAAGGCCGGGGGGGCTCCTGGGCCTTCTGAGGAGGCCCGCCCCCTCCCCACTTCCCCCCGCCCGGGCTCGCCGCCGAAAATCAGCTCCACGCAAAAGCGACCCTGGGCAAGAGTGACCTTTGGTGCGCGGCCTCTTGAGGGCCGCGGGGGCGGGGCAATCACAAGCGCGCGTGGCGCCACTACACGGGGAACCCCGTCGGGCCTGCACCAGAGGTCACTCTGGCGAAGGGTCACTCCTACGTCTCGTCGAGAGAAAAAACAAAAAACAAAAAAAAACAAAAAAAGAAAAAAGCCGCGGCCTCGAACGTCGCGCCGGGCGGTGCCGCGCGGCCTGCTGCCCGGGGAGGGCGCGCAGAACCCCCGCAGGGGGCCTCCCGACGGGCGCGCCAGCGCGGCGGCCGCGGGCCACGCCGCGGGGCCCGCGGGGGGCCGAGCGGGCGGCACGCGGAGGGCCGGCGGAGGGCAGGCGGAGGAGCGAGCGAGCGAGCGGGCGAGCGAGCGGCCACGGGCTCTCCAGGAAGTCGCCCCCTGCTGCGGTGGAGACTCCTGCTGGAGGCCTGGGAGTGGCCACCAGCACCAGCACAGGGGGGTTGCCTCCACAGGGTGACGGACACCGATCCACGGGGGCCTATTATTTTATGTCTATTGCCCAGAATCCCCCAACCCTAACCAGACCCCCCCCCCGCAGGGGAACGCCCCGGACGCCCTTTCGGACGTCTCGGCGGCTCCCGAGATGCCCTTGGAAAAGGTCCGCTGGCCCGGCCTTGGAGGCCTGGAAATGGGCACCAACACCAACTCAGAGGGTTGCATCCACAGGTGGACGATGATCCCAGATCTCGGTGTTGGTGGCAATACTTCGGTCACCTCGGAAGCCAGAATATGACCACCATCACCGAGATCGGGCTCTTCTTCCCTCGGTGGATGCACACCGCCGAGATTGGTTTTGGTGTCAATCTCTAGGCCTGCGACCCCTACTGCGGTGGAAACTCCTAGGAGCCTCCCATGCCATCTTGTCGGCTCCAGCGAATCGACGCTCATCGACGCTGAGTCGACGCTAAGTCGACGCTGAGTCGACGCTGACGCTAAAAATCGGCAC